AAATATTAATGGTCATTCGGCTTTTTTTCAGATGAACAACTGAAGCCTAGTTAGTTCAAGTATATGGCCCATCAAACTCTTCTCTTTAGTTAATAGCAGGATCCAGAAGAACATCAGAAAAATTACTGAAATTAGTGGTCATCACTCCCCAGTACCTCTTTTTGGCAAAATTGTTACAGTTATAATTTTGTTATGTTGGAAGCCCAAGTATATGAGAACAGCCTGAGCTGTTCTGTGATTGACTTAATGGGTATTTCCCTTTGGCTGGATCAATGACCTGGAACTTGCTCCATGTAATGTTAATCATTCAATCCAGTCTCAGAAGTATACAAAGGAAAGAATCACAGAGGTCCCTTTTGGTGAATATGTGCAAGCGAACTAGACTTCACAGGATGGTACTCTGACATCTGGACTCAATCCTATAGATTATTCAGAAAGATAACCCAATCTCCTTACAGTCCAAATAAAACAGCACTTAGCAGTACTTGCTGGTTTCACTTGGGTGAGAAGTCACCCACTTGCAGTACCAAGAAAGAAGCATGGAACTATCTCGAAAATGATGTCTACAGGAACTCCAGCCTATTTCTACAAGAGTCGCCATGGTACAACAATTATGTTTATGGGACTGCAGGGAAAAACAGCAGAGGGGAGGAGAGATACCCAGTATGTGAAGAAATTGAGAAACGAAGGAGGGATTTACTTACCAAACAGAACCAAAGGGAAAGAGCTGAGACTGGATAACTCAAGATTTAAGCATTGTTTAAGATGAGATCCAGCCAAATTCCAACAATAACAAACCTCATGAGAGACTGGGATTTTAGCCACAGAATGAGGTTCTTTTTCACTGCTGGAAAGTAAATATAATAAGAGCAACAGGAAACTTCAGAGCAGACATGCTGCTGCTGCTGCTGCGAAGTCACTTCAGTCGTGTCCGACTCTGTGCGACCCCATAGACGGCAGCCCACCAGGCTCCCCCATCCCTGGGATTCTCCAGGCAAGGACACTGGGGTGGGTTGCCATTTCCTTCTCCAATGCAAGAAAGTGAAAAGTGCAAGTGAAGTCGCCCAGTCCTATCCGACTCTTCACGACCCCATGGACTGCAGCCTCCCAGGCTCCTCCGTCCATGGGATCTTCAGGCAAGAGCACTGGAGTGGGTTGCCATTGCCTTCTCCATAGAGCAGACATAGTCTTAAGCATATAAGGGCACCAAGACCAGTGTTCATTGAACCTTGCAGTGATTGTTGCATCTAAGGAACATGGCAAGAAATTTACATGTGAAGCACTTCACAGCTGCTTTAAGTAAGTACTGCTTGCTAGACTCTGATTTTTTCCCCCTGAAATAACTGACTTAACTGCCTAGATGTCCAAGTTCTCTACCACCACACACAGAGCTACCATGATCATCCTCCACTGGGCCGCCTCAGCCACCACTTCCACCCCCCTCCCCAGGCTACACTGAGCTCTCCGCTAAGCACCAGGCATTCTGCCAGGCACTTTGCATACTTGATCTCAAATCTTTGAGAGTTATTTTTAATTCACATTTTCCAGCAAATTCCAACTTATATTTCCCAAGTGCTCACTATATGTCCTTGTGAATCAGGGCTCCAAGGCTCCAGCTCCATTTGGCTCCTAAGTCTATGCCTTGTTTAAACAAGTCGCTCTGGTTTCATCATGCAACAATTTTAAAATAATGAACACTTTGAGGTTTACTAAGTGAGAAAGGTTGCCACTAGCTAATTGGGAGAAAGATACCAATAAGGCATTTCCATTTTGACAAAAACGCCTAAATATTGGACCCCTGGCATATATGAATTTAATCTGAGACTTTTAGGGGAGAATTAGATAATGTACAAATTATACAGTGGAACTTGCAAGAAAAAAAAAACAACAACTTTAGAACAGTACTGAAAAAAAAAAAAGGTTTCCCCAGTCCCAACATATGTTTTTACACAAATCTGCATGCTCCAATTAATCTGCTGAACTGCTGGTGTGCGGCTGGACCGCCTTAATCATCTTTGTAAGTACAATGTGCAATTTGTGGTCTGATTTCTAGCAAGAAAAGTGCACCTAATTTTGGCTCGCCCCATACTTAAACCTATTTTAGAAAATTAGAATTTAACCATAGCTTTACACAGTCTTAAAAAGAAAAACTGTACGCAGCTGCTGACAGGTCATTGATGTTGTAATACTCTGAGTACCCGAGGAGAGATTTTATAGTATTATCCCAATGAATGGCATAAAAGAGACTTGGATTTTAAAAATTCATCTCTACTTGTCAAACATTATTAGGAAAGGAAGAAAAAAAATGGAGATTTCTTGGGATGATCTGACATAGCAGCATGTTTTTCTGGTCCACCACGTCTGGCTGGCAGAACTCTTTTCTTTTCTAGTGAAATAAACAACTGTTTAGTACAATGCTATGTTTGGAACAAGGCAAGTTTTATTTTCTTTTTTAAGCCCTTGGCTCAAGAGAATAGTCTTATGGGAAATGGCTATTGTGTTTACTGTTGTTTGATGATGAAATGTCATCTGACTAAAATACTTATGAAATAAATTATTCCATTCAATAAAGCCATCAATAGTTCGGCTGGTTTAAAAATGCAATTTGCATTATAATGCATCGAGAAATCCCTGATGAAAAACTCTTACATACATTCGTTCATATCAACACGCTCACAATCGTGCTTGCTCATGCTCGCTCTCTTTCTCTCTCTCCTGGTTTGAAAGAGTTGTTTACAACTTAAAATACCACAAAAATTTAAAATCTGAAAATGCTACTAGCATTTCACAGCTTAGTACAGAATCATCTTAAAACAAGAACCAATATGTTGAATGATTAGTTCACTTTGAGAGTGATGATTGACTAGAAGTGAATAAGTGGTATTAAGATGTAGCTTATATTCATTTTCTTGTAAAAGGTAAATGGTTGTTAATGGCTACATCATCATATTTTTGCTGACCTAACAGAATAACCCCACCCACCCACTTTTGGGAGGCCAGCCTCTCCTTGGATAGTTTGTTTTTGCCATACCACTAACTTTTTACTGTGGTGTCTAATCCTTATATGTATTTGACTTATAAATTACGGGGAATGAGAATTACTTTTATTTTGGGAATTTTTCAATGTCCCTTAAGATCATTGGAGACAACCTTGAAAATCCAGGGCTGGTAATTATTGGCCTTGTGAAAGAAAACCAGCTCCTATTTCTTAATTAGTCTGGTTTTGATCAATGACTACTGGAAGAGGAACTGTTGAAGGAAAAACTATGCATCCTGGCCAATACTCTGCTAACTCAAACTGAAAATATTTTCCTCCAAGGAGAAAACCTTGGAGGAAATAAGCCATTTCTCTAAAGAGGAATGCCTCCAAGATGTTGTCTGAAACATGAATGACATTGAGTATGCTCTCTCCTTCATTGAGTAAAATGTTCTGGGAGTAAGGGCTATACTGGTTCCTGACAATGCCTGATATCTCTGTGACAACAGGGATTGGATCTTAGGCGTCCCCATGTTCCAAGGGCCAGCATACAGCCTAGCACACAGTCTGATGCCCAATAAGTGTTCATGGGTTAAAGATGCAAAGGAGTAACTGACTTCAGTAAAACCACTGAGCTGATAACCCAGACTACAGGTCTGTCCAACAGGCCAGTATTCCCAATCTCATTGTGGCATCATGGCTCTTGGCCTCTAGGCTACATTCTTGAATGTGTAGTTCAGCTTCTACCTGAACTTTAATAGGGCTGAAATGAATATTTGTGCTAAATCTCTTATTACTGTTTTATTTTCAGTCATGCAAGAACATGTTTTAGCAGTTTGGAAAGGAATGGACTCAAGATGCAAAATGGGTACCTGCTATTTCTTTGAATATGTTTGCCATGAACTAATTTTCCAGTCTATACGATAGGAAAAGCAGTGGGACTCCAAGCTTGACCCTGACTAATTGACTGTGTGACCTTGAGAGAGTCCTAGAGACTTTCTCATCTCATCTGTAAATGAGAAGGTTGTACTAGATGATCTCTCAGGTCCCTCTTGGCCCTATTATTTTTAAAATTCTATTACTATTATTATTTATATTTGCAAAAGTGAGTGTGAGAGCATGATTTCTAAACAAAAACCAAAAAAGGAATCTAAAAAGATGGTGTCACTGCTCACTCAAAAAGAGGAATGTGAACTCCCAGTTGTAACATATATCCAAGTCCAATGGAATACATTCACAGAATTAACTAGATTACCCCTTCCTATTCCTATCTAAGATGCTAAAATCAATATGTGAAGGACATGAGGAAATTGTTTATTTACCTTGTAATTAGTTAACAATCTTTACTGTCAAGCTGAATCTGGAGGTTTGCACTCATTGGGTAGCATGGGTTTCAGGGAGTCTGAATCTTCTGAAACTACAATCGACCCTATGTATCCATGGGCCATGGTTCCAGGACCTGCCACAGATACCAAAATCTGTGATGTTCAAGTCTCATAGTCTGCCCTCCTTATCTGCAGATTCAGTCAACTGCAGACAGTAAACCATAGCACTACATTCACGGATTTAAAAAAAATCCACCTCTAAGTGGACCTCCACAGTTCAAACCCCTGCTCTTTAAGGATCAATTTCATAGGCAAAATTTTGCATGTGTACAAAGTTATACAGGGGAGAAAGTTCATGGTTTTAATCAATATTTAACTCAAAATTTTAGGAACCTCAGGCTAAATCACGGTCTAGTATCATTAACTGCTTGTTTAGAACCCCTGGAATTGGACCTAGATTGGATCCCATGCTCAGCCACTTAGCAGTTATCTGACTTTAAGCAGGCCTCAGTTACCTTATGAGTGAAACAGAAATAATAATATCTACTCTGAGGATGGCTGTAAGGATTAATAAATGATATCCATGGAATTAATGTATATAAAAGCACTGGTCCAGGATCCATCTCATAATAAGTGCTTAGTAAGAAACAAACATATTTTATTTTTGTTATAGCAAATGAGGTTGATTATGATTAAGTCTTCAGAGTTGTTCACTGCTGTTAATCAGCCTGTTGGTTGAGAAGAGGATTCCTTTTCAAAAGCTACAGAGAGAAGGCAAGGGAGGAGGCATTGTCTAAGTATGATAGTTTGTAAAGAAATCCATCTCTAAAAGCAATCTAACTATACCAGTCAATATAATTATACTAAAAATGATTATAACCATTTTAAACTTACAGTTTAAAACAATTTAAAATGCTATATAATTTTGGCTTATACACGTCCAATTTGAAGGAGGTTTCTGAACTCATTCTGGTGAGCTAACGAGATTTTCTGATCTAAGCACTTGCTGGCACTAAGTCACTAAAAGAACTAACAAGAGGGCTGAATGAGATGGTTCCTGAGGCTCCTTCTAGTTCTAAGACTCTACAGTTCTCTTCTCCTGAATGAAAAAAAAAAAAAAGGAAAATCCTCTTTAAATGACACTGAAATCTCTAAATTGTCTAAATAGTTTCAGGTCCCTTATTCGCATAAGTAGTCCCATATCTTGACCCCCCTTGTGGTGGAGTGCTCCGGCGTGTAGGAAATCAAGACTCATTCTCCAGTTGGAAGCCAGTTCTGGATCAAAGACAGAAACCTTATCTGCATTTTAAAGAAGGGAGGAGAGGGGAACACTGCTGATACTTAGTACAGTATGACCACAACACAAAAGAGACAGGCTACCATATGCCACTCAGGAAAGCAGTCTGTTTCACTAGACTACCTTCAGACTACTATATTCAAACTATCCAATGTATCAACTTAGCTGGGTGGTTTCTTAAACCTGCATAGCATCAGGGTTTTCCCCCAGAAAGCTCTTTGGGAAAGAGATTATAATTTTGTTGTCTGCTGGACCCAAGTCCCACTGAGGTCTGATAACCTGAGCACCTTGGCAGGTACGAAGATTTGAACATAGGTCCAACAAACTCCAGAATTACTGATTCTTTCTATGACACCAGTGGCTCCCAAAACATCAAGGGAGAATATTAGGTAGTTGTATCGGAATCAGCTGGAGAGTTTGAAAAAAGGCTTTTTCCTAGGTCTCAAACCCAGAGGGTCTGATTTAGTAGGTCTGGAGGAAGTTAGAGATGAAACAACTGCCTCTATTAGTTCTGATGTGCCGCCAGGTTTGGGAAACACTGAGCCCTCCATTTGGGCTGCAGTCTCCAGGAAAGGCTTTTTATTTTTTAAAATTCTAAAAATTGAAATATAATTGCTTTAAAATGTTGCTTTAGTTTTTGCTGTACAACGAAGCGAATCAGATATATGTGTGTATATATATATTCCTCCCTCTTGGAACTTCCCCCCACCACCTCCCACCGCACCCCTCGAGGTCATCACAGAGCACTGGGCTGAGCTCCCTGTGGTATACAGAAGCTTCCCACTAGCTAGCTATTTTATACATGGCCATGTATATATGTCAATCTTAATCTCTCAATTCATCCTGCCCTCTCCTTCTGCCCTTGTATCCGTGTAGGGAATGAGCTTTGAACACTGAAGAAAGAAGCTGGACTTAGTAGAGGATAGGTTGTGAGATGGCCTTTGATGGAAGGGTCTGGCATGTGTATAAGGGAATAAGACAACCGTCCCAGCTAGAGCTGAGAGGCACGAAGGAGGAGAAAGGCTGGGGATGTATCTAAAACTGAGACAGAAAATAGGTTCACAGGGCTTCCTTGAAGCCCTGTTTTAGAAGGATTCTGATGTGGGGAGTGGTGGCATACAGTCACAGGACAGACATGCTAAACTTCAATACAGAACTTTATTTTTAAATGACAACATATGGTGTATTTTATAGTCCATCAAGATTGGCTTTGTTTAAATGAATATAAGATAAAAATAAGATGAACGGTAAAGTTTAATCATCTCTCCCAAATTTTACTTGGTCCCTACAACTCTGCTTTTAATTATAGCTTCATGACTTTTACCTGAATTCCTCAAGTGCAAATACTTTCTTTTAAACTTTATTTTCATCATATCTTCAGTGTAATGCAGAAAAGGAATCTTAAATATTTATTTCAGCATTTTATATTTTTATTGGTTTTGTAAACCACTGAAATTGTAGAGTGTACTTAAGAGTGAGTTGGTTCCATATGCAGTAAATCAACTGGAGGACAGACTATAGTGTACACCATTTACAAAGAGAATCACTATAGCTAAAAATATAACTTCCTCCCCTCCCACCCCTGAAGCCAACATCCAAACAACTACAAAATTGCATGCTGGAGAGATGGGTACTATATTCCAAGACAAATATATACAAATTAAGCCGGAAAACCTTAAAGTGTTATTGATTTAATTCTAAGAAACATTTCACAATCAAGTCTCATAGATACTATTTCTCTATAGAGAAAAGTACAAGGAGGGGGAGACAATGATTGCAAAAGATATGAATGTGGAAAGGAGCCTCATGCAGAAAGGAATCTTGCTAAAGTATTTTAAATACCAACAACGAGAAAAAGGAGTTTCAGTCTCCATGAAGCATTGTGAGAGCTCAGGGACTCTACCTCTCTCTCTCCTTCCTCAAGCTGTACCCCCAATCTGACTCTGGGGGGCTCAGTAGCTTCAAAACTTCTACAGCAGTGGGTGAGAGGCAGCAGAAAGGTTGTGATGAAACAACAACCCAGAAAATGTATACATGAGAGTAATGCAGGTCTTAAAAGTCCAAGTCACGGCTGGAGTACCTTACTTGGTATTTGGTATTCAGGATTCCTTCTGGAGGATTCAGAATGCTGCATTCTCGCCACAAGAGGCAGGAATATTCTAAAATGAAGCATGTGAAGACCCAGAAGGAGCTATTCAGAGGCCTCCAGTTACAGTGCTAACTCCGCAGTAGAATTAACTAGATCATGAGTCATACTTTACCAGTCACTCTAAAAAATATGAAGACAGACTCAATAATCTAGAACAGAACCTAGTACACAGTGGGAGCTCAACAAATGTTATTTGCAAGTTGATCAGACATCTGGAAAGTCAATAGTGGGTAGTCTTGGTAGCTAGATGCTGATAACCCTTAAATATAAAATAGGTTTCTGAAAAACCAGGGTAAAAGGGATGCTGGACCATTATTTTCCAACTACAATCAACAGAGTAGCTCAAAAAGGGCTGTTCAACATTAGATGATTGAAATGAGAAAGTAACTTTGGTAGTTTGCAAAGGTGTAGGTATTTATTTAGAAACTGAGAACATTATAAAAATAATATAATAATTATATATAATAATCAAATAAGTATAAAAACTATAATTAAATATAATAATCAATAAAATTTTTATAATAAATTACAAAAATAATCTAATAGTCTAATCTAAGTGGATTCATTTCCCCCACCACTAATTTTGGCCACAATTATGAAAATTTTGTATTCTGTTTACACGGAGTGCTCAATATATGTTATTGATTTATTAGTCTGTTAAATATATTCTGTAAATTAAGTGACATAAAAGACGTGCCTAATGACAACAATCAAGATGATGCTTCCTGCTGATACAGTTATTTCTATGGTAAATATAAAAATTCAGAATAATCTTTAAAATGATACAACCTCAAGATCAGAAATTTGGCATCAAAAATATCAAGGTAAAAATAATGATTCACACAGTTTTTGAAACTAAGTTTATAAGCGAAATTCCTATAATTCAAAAAATTATTTCAGAATTAAAGTGAACTGACCAAACAATCAAAGTTCAAAATGGCTCTAAGGTTCAGATTACACATAAACGAGAAAAAGAAGAGACCGCTATACTGGGGTGAATGGCAACCACTTCCAGTATGATTAAAATTATTTCATTTTATCTTTCTTTTATTTGGGAAATAATTATTTCTCTGAAAAGCCCTTCACAGCCTTTCTCCTCTTTGAACCCACATTCTGGGCTGGAATTCTATACAAGTCACATGAAATGAGTTTACTTAACTGAACAAGCAGACTGCAGAAACACTGTGATGACAAGAAAAGCAATCCTTTTAAAATGAAGATTAACTTTATCTTGAAGGTCACAATGTACGGTTGCATACAACCTTGTGTTGGCACAAGACAGGGATACTGACGTTGACAAATATAGAAAGTTAGCTCCAAGACAGCAGGGACCTTTTATCCGCTACCTGACCCAAGCCCAGGTCCCCAGAACATAGGAGACACTCAGTAAGGAGTCAGTGAATACATGAATGAACAATGAGGTCCAAGTCCCATCTAGTGGATTCAGACCATTCCTCAAGTCTGGTCTCATCACTACCATTATTGTTCCAAGAATTTATCCAACAGAGAACTGGGGGACAATGGATATCCCTGGCAGACCCTGAATCTGTGAGGTAAGACTGCCCAGCAGTCAAAGGCATCAAAGGCTCCTCAAAAAAAAGTGACTCAACAGAACTGTAAAAACCCATTCTCAAACTGTATTATTTAATATGTCTCATTAGAAGTTTAATGACAACTTTGCAGAGACTCAAACAATACAATTCTGAAGAAATAACATTTCAAAGCAATATTTAAGCCAAATACTTAGGGGAATTAAAAAAAAAAATCAGATTTTTAAAAGTAGTTTACAGCTCCTTCCACATATGGATTTTCATGACATGGATCTATCTACTATTATTCATTGATAGAGTAGCTCTAGTCTCAGTCTAAATGAATGAACAAATAAATATAGAGATAAGCTACATAGAAACCAAAGACAAACATTAAATTCCTATAAAAAATGAAAGGGGTGTAAAATGATAAAGTAGTTTTCTATAAATGTCAAAATATCGTACTTGTGAAATTTGGAAAACAGATAAAATGCTTACATGTTGTTGCTGGTTAAAGCTGGTAGTAGACGAAATTAGAAAAAGCTGTATGTTATACCCCATTGCTATTGGACCAAGACTTCAGCAGGATAACATTCACCTTTTCATTTGAAAATAAAGATACATCAAAACTCTTGAGTTGAAAGGTTAAGTGTACTCTCTGTGTAGTTGATAAATGTAGACCTAATCTAATCAGGGGCTGGCCCAGGCACCGCTGCCCTGACCCAGGCTTCTGGTTTCCATGAGGGTAAGATCTAACCAAGATGTAGGCTCTCGGCCTTTGACCTA